ATTTTGTATAKAAACTTTAGTTTCGTGTGATTTTTTAGGAACCTACAAGTTTATACATACTTATTTAAATAATAAGATAAACAGCATATCCTAGGGATAAGAGTCAGAATTACATTATGTAATAAATAAATAAATAGAAATCATATTTTTAACTTGCTCCTTTTTTGTGGGACATGACCATAGTTGAAGAGCTGGGCCCCCTTCCACCCAGGATTTGTGCTGTCCCACCAGGTATGGGCTATATGTCCCACCAGCTATGGGCTGTAACAGCCCTCACTCACTCGCCTGTGCCTTATTCCCATTGTGCAGAGGCTGAGGAGGGGTGTGTGTGGGGGTCACTTATGTGCCTTACCAGAAAAACTTAAAAAAGAAAACACCACGGGGCACCTAAACAGAGGAGAAATGCAGCGATTTTGAGAGTGGTTTGTCATGTACCCCCCCCAGAGCCTGGGGATGCCCGTGGGTGCTCTTACCTTATGCAGAGCTCAGGCCTGCAGCCCAGGCCTGCTTTGTAGCTACTGCTTTCTGCAGAACAGGCAGCAGYCAAGTGCTAAATACCTGCCTGGCCATCAGAGCTCCGCTGCTCGAGCAGCTACAGCCACCGGCTGCRGCCCGGCACTTACCTACACGATGTTCTCTGCTGCTCCTCTGTCCAGGTCAGTGCAACCCTGGGCTGCTCGAGGGTATTGGCAGGGGGGTTAGATTTTAAGTTCCTATGGAAAAGGCTGGTCAAGGTCCAACGAAATGCTAAATATTGGCATTTATAATCTGCCTGTCTTCAAACAGGTAAAACATGGCTCAAATCAGAACAGCATTAATCGGTCTTCATATACATGTAAAATACAACAGGAAAGCGATGTGTTGAAATTCTCACAAGAGAAATTCTTCGCTGGGAAGAACTGTCACACTCCACAGACACTTAAGCTCTGCAGGAACGAAACGGGATTTCCATCACTGGAAATTCTTTAAAAGGAGCAGGACAAATTTAGGGCAAGAGCAGTGGAAACACCAGAGTGAGGACCGTGGGGACCCGAGGTGAAGCAGCAGCAAAGAGCAGGACTCCTACGGGCACACACTAGTTTTAGGGCTGCATTGCTCATTGCTCTCTGAGGTTACTTCTAATTAAGTTTAATTATATTTAGTTGAACTGCTTTCACACAGTTTAACTTCTTTAAAACAACAGCTTATCTCCTAGGACCATTTTCTTTTAGCCACAGGGGCGCACACAGGTACTGCTTTACATGTCATCTTGAACCAYGGAGTTTCTAGTATCGTTTTCTAGTTTTACGGTAATACAAATGATAAATATTATTAAAACAAACAAACAAAAACTCAAACCACAATAAAAACAGCGGCACGTTCGCATTTGGCAGGAACAGATCATGCTCCGCCACAGGATTTGATAATTCTGAATGCTATTCCCAGCAGCAGATGAAAAGGCAGGGCTCCTGCAGGGCTAATCCTGCTATTAATTTCATACCCAATCCTTGTTTCCTGCCCAAGCGGCACCTGTGCCTTTCTCCCAGGCTGCCAATATGTGTTTGCATACACAAGAACCTATTTCAAGGTTTCCCCAGCAGGCATTTTATATATTTATACAGTTTAAGAGTGACTTGATTTTCATCAGAAGAAYGTAGAACTTACACAGTCCCCAGAGGAAAACAAATGAATCCACCAAGACCTTACTTCTTGGAAACAGAATATGGAAAGTTTATTACCTTGGCAATAACTCTAAAGAAGAAAAATGTTGAGACCCAGGGACTGGAGGAACAAGTGATTTCTAGCAAGAGACAGTGAAGGTACTAAAATGAACACAGGCTGTCACAGCTACTGGCAAAGAGAAAGGAAGGAAGCAAATCACTGAACAAAAGCCAGGAAGACAGAGACTCTGTTTCATGCAGTTTCTCTATGTGAAAGATGTAGACAAGAGCAGGACACAAATCCTGCATGCAAACCTTAACACTGGATGAAACTGGTCAACAAGCTTGGCTCATTTGCCAATACAAGTAACAGGTGGGTAGATGCTACCCTTGGGGAAGGAATAGGGAATGGAAATAGTTTCATGCAGAATGCAAAACTTTGGCTTTTTATACCTGCAGATTGTATCAGWAAGGTGGCAATCCTTGTTTTTCCCAGATGCTTCTGTTAGCTTGAAAGTCTGCTGTAAATCACTAGAGGAAAATTCTATTTAGGAGGCAAGATGTCATCAGAAAAGCAGCAAAACCACCAACTAACTTAAGGAAAGCAAGGGTTGTAGCTGTGAAGAGATACTGCCCTCGCTACCTGCACCAACAACAAAATCATCAGTACAGACTGAAGTGGACAGCAATTTCACGCTGTTGAGAGCTGCTCTATTATTTTTACTCAGGTACACATATGAGGCCTGGCTAAATGTGCACTCAAGATATTCTACATATATATACACACACACTACGAGCACAAATGAGTATAAAATCTACCATGAGCTGCGGAAGCTTAGAAAGACAAGCAGCCATCAAAAAGTGACTTCATCCCTCAGGAGAGCTGTGGGTCAGTTGAACCTTCCCTCATCCTACATGGATGTCCTTGTCATGTCCTTGCCAAACCTCCTTGTCAGAGCTTATGTCCCGTTGAGCAAGCAATATGGCACATCACAGAAATGATGAAATGCCTGAGCGGAGAACCAAAGGAAATACAGACCCCAGCAAAGAGACTTAGTCATGAGAGGTCAGGAGGCATCTCGGCCACCATGCCAAGCAGCGCTATGCCAGTGTGGGCCAACACCCCGCATTTGGGAGCACCATATTTCCCAGGAACGGGCCCTGGTTCTTTATCTATTCATGCTCCTTGGCTTGCTGCACATGAATAGAAGGGTTAATGCAGCTAAACCTCTGCTGAGCTACATTGTGCAAACATCATTTGGGTTTTGGTGGAGAGTTTTGCCTGGTGAATTCGGCAGGAGCTGGCTCAACCAAGAAGCATCTTCCCTTTTTCCTCTGCCAAGCTGTACAGATCTATGCTTGAAAAGAGAAGTCAGGAGTGTGGTGTCACACTCACACAGAGATGTTAAAACACCTGGCCACGGACAAAATTGCTTTCCCCCCCCAACACTTGTAATCCATATAGGAAAATGAGTTTCCAAGAAAAAATCTTAAAACTTTGTTACAGATTACATAAACAGCCATGTGCTCACATCAAAATCTTTTTGGCAACAGGGTGGGAAGACCCATATGTGACATAAGGCTTGAAACATTGCAATGAATTGGAAGATTCAGCAATAACTCAGCAATTGCTGTTGAAGGTGTTTAGYAGAAGACTCTAACAATTTGTGGCCAGTTCAGCACTATAAAGCAGCCCCAGTTCCTGTTGAGCTGTATTTTTAAGAGAGGGATGCCTTCTCAGGAAAAAGCAACTACGACCTGCAAACACGTACATATTTCCACGCACATCTTCATTCCAGGTTCACAGCCAGTTTAAATTGTTCAACAATTAGTGGTAGCCAAAAAAAAAAAGTTTGTTTTGTTTCTTGTGTGAAAAATATGCCCTAAACTTTCCAGGAAAACAATGCTAAAAACAGGAGGCCACTGAATGAAATATGGTGCTATGGGAAAACATGGACACATTTTCCCAGGCTGAGCTATTCAGCTTTGCAGATTCCTATCTCAGAYGTGTTATACATTCCCATGAGAAAATGAACATTTTAAATACAGTATCAAAGATAAATTTATAGTCTGATGATGCAACTCTATCTCAAAAAAAAAAAAATAAAAAGGAACAAACTTATTTTCAAAATTCCTTTCCCACCAAACAGATTTAAGAGACTAGTCTGCACAGTTTTGCTCAAGACAGTTTTGCTGAACTATTCTTGTAAATCATATTTTGTGATTTATAATGTCCCCAAGGTATTCTTCTATGTCTACTTATATGAGGTAATAAATAGCTTTTCCTCAATTTAACACCAAGTGACTCCTTTCTCTTCCTGGACACCTGCTGAAAGCCATGTAATATACTTGAAATTCAGTAAGAAAGAAACAAAAGACAGCTGGCTATATAGAAAAGAATAAAGAATCATACATATGCTACAAGAGCTAAGCTTAGCTGCGTGCTTGTTTGGCTGGTGAATGGAAAAGGAAGAAGGGTCTTCAAGGAAAGCAGCCAAAAGAAACTGAAGCAAATGCAAAAAGCATTTCAAGGCTATATTTAGGGGAAGACATTCTTCATACGTTTGCCAAGCTATTCACGTCATTTCACACAGCATGTTTTAACCAGCTTTAGAAGTCTATGAGAGAAGAGCATTATGAGGAGAAAAAAAAAATAAAGAGAGGAAAAAAAAGGAATCCTGGATGAGTTGCCAGAAATGGTAATCTTGTGAGTATTTAGAGGACTGAGTATTTTAAGCATGTGAATTCAAGATAACTTTCCAAAGGAAAAGAAAAAGAGGGGGAAAGAGGGTAAAACTTTCTACAAATAACACAGAAAGCTTCTGCAATCTCATTTAAAAAGAAACAGCAAAGCAACATGACCTGGCCTCTCTCTTCCCTTTCCAGTTTTCACTGAAAATATTTAAATAACTGAAGCCTAAGACAGTAAGCTTAAGCCCTCAGTGTTATAAACTACCTGAAGTACTGTACACACTTATATATGTAGAGCACAACAATTTATATAAGTAATTACATGTTTGTCCTCTGTAATGTGGTAAACAATCTGCAGCGAGTAAATGAACACCAAACACAAGCTCAAAGATGAAAAGAGACAGAAACAGTCAAGTTTTGTAAGATTATTACAAATTTTCTTTAGCTCCTTCAGTGCATGGCACTTGGTAGAGCTATTTGCATAAAGAAATGTCAGGCACACAGAAAATACGTCAGTACCAGAAGCGACAGTAACAGGAGCAAACAATTGACGTTTCCCGTTCGTGCCCTTCTCAAGGCTAGGCATGGCAGTGGGTTCAGACACTGAGCTGCTATTGCTTAGATGCACACAAGTGAGAGGAAAAAAAAAAAAAAAGAAAGAGTTTTTACCTTCATTCCCTTCTCCTGGTGGCTGGTAAAACGAAAGCCCCAAAGATATGATGGCTGCAATTTCCAAGATTATAAGAGTCACATCCTGTAGCGCTTCCCAGACTAGCTGTAAGAATGTTTTTGGCTTCTTTGGAGGTATAAAGTTTTTCCCAAAAATAAGCTTTCTTTTTTCTAGGTCTGCTGCAGCGCCAGATAATCCTGTAAATAAAATAAAGGGGGGGGGGGGGGGGGGGGAGGAAGAAATTGTAGTGAAACAGAAAACACCCAGTAGCATCTGTAAATTATTTCTCCTTAAAGAACTGCAGCTATAGTACCATAGCTACTATAGTAACAAATAGGCAGATTTTGCACTTAAATTTTGCCTTTGCAAAATGATTTGTCATTATGTTCTGAATAGAGTTCTTAAGGACGCTCTTTAATACTAATTCTTGTCATTTTTGGCCATACAAAGCCTGTGAATTCATTTAGTAAGACCTGTGGATAGATATGTATATACAGAGACATATGTATATAAGCAATGACTTGTGAAAAAACTCAGAAAGCTCCAATAACCTCTGCTTGGGAGGAGGAGGAGGAGGGAATAGCTGGCAGCAGCTCCTTCTAYCAAGCGCAAGCGACGTATCTGGGTTCGCAGCTCTGGTCCAGGGCCCATGAGCGTGGTGAGCAGGGCCTGGGCCTGCTGCCCTCAGTGCAGCAGCGACACTGGCTGCACCTCCCGGCCTCACCTCGGGCACCCGCCTGTCACCGCAGGTACCGARTTACAAGGGACGACAGCTCGTGGTAACTCATCAAACTTGCATGTCCCCGCTGGCTCCTCGGACACATGATCCTCCTCCCCAGAGGAAGGCGCGCGGCCGCCCTCGCTCCCTGCCTCCCTCAGCACCTCCCTCGCACGTTGCACACCTAGCGCCCTGCGAGACTGCACCACACAGGCTCCAGCTACTGCAAAGAAGCGTCTACGGCCCCCGATTCCAAACCAATTAAATAAATAAAAGTTTCAAATCGAGATTCATCCAAGTTCCTCCGGGAGCTTCTGGCACCCAGTAAAGGCTTCATCCCGAGGAAGGACTTGGCTTTGCTGACGTCTACGTTTCTGACCACGAGCCGCTTGGATTGATGCTTCTGTTCTTGAACAAATGACATTCACAAAGCTTGAGAAAATACGAGGTAAAGGACAGCAGTGATCTCCCCCATTACACCATCACATTGCAGTCTAGGGCAAAGGAACTTATACTGCAATTTAGATGTACCAGTGTTCTTTCACCTTTAATGATAAGTATTACCTTCCATAAGGACCATAAGTAGGCAAGGGTTTATTTTGAGGCAAATCTTTTTCTTTGAAAGTGTGGATCAGGTAAAATAAATCAGACTAAATTTGAAAAATAGATTCACCTAAAAAATGAAAGCATATTCATGTTTAAATATGAGATGTAATTGCTTGTAAATAATTTAGAAATATTGAGAGACAAATTGCAATGTTTTATTCAACTCAAAATATTCCCCTTCTGAGATCTGGCCACTGCTCAAAAAAACACCTAAAAAAACCCCAAACCATATTCAGCTAAATTTTTCTATTCATTTTCTCCCCGAAAGCCATACACTAACAAACTTAAATTTAGGAACTTAGAGAGCAAGAYTCAAGGAAGCAGGGAAGAAATCTAAAGACCATTTGATTAAAGTCACAACATGAGTCTTAAAAGCTACTGCTGAGACAAAGTCAGAAAGAGGCAGCAGCATGGTGCTATAAAGGAAAATGCGTATGGGCAKAAAGCACCTACGCAGGGAGGACAAGGCTATAGAGAGAAATGAGGCTAAAGATGACTGAGAACGTGCGGCAGTGTAAGATGTTTAATTTTAGAAAGCTGCCATTCGCTAATGGCATCACTGCTCCAATTTCCTGGCAGCAGAAGGTATCACGGAGACGCTCCTCATCTTCAAATAATCTGCTTTATTCAGACGAGTTTGGTTAAATAGTCCCCGGGTGCTCCGAGCAAGGCAAAGGCAGCAGCTCAGAGCGGGGGAGAGGGCGGCGACGCTGCGCACGGGCCGGCAGATCCGCGGGACGCTGCTCCCTGGCTGCGCAYGCCGACGGGCGCCGCAGATGGCGCGGACGTCAATTAGCGCAGCGGGAGCTGCCGCGGACATCTGGCCTCCCCATCTCGCTAACCGGGGGAYGCCTCCCCTGCTGCTACGCTGCCTTTTTCCTTTTTTTCTCTTTTCTTCCCTCCCTGCCCCCCCCTTTTTTTTAATTATTACTCATACTGAAGAATCAAGAATTTTGAAAGAAGACTCAAAAAACTCCTGTAGAAACAGCAGCTCGTGGTCGTTTCCCACTCTTCTCAGTTACTGCATGCAGAATATAAAACCTGCTATTCAATTAATGCTTCTTAGGAAAGTGTATTTCTTTTGAAAGTCATCTCCACTGCAATCAATTGGAGCAGCAGAAAGGATTATTGCGAGTGCAGCAGAAACAAACAGCACAAGCCCATCACTACTAAAGCAAAAAACGAAACAAAAAGTTGTGAAAGAATATTTCAATTGCTCAAAAAATGTAAGATTTAGATGAGGAATAGGCAATTTGCATTAATATAAATACATTCTAATTAAAACCAATTATTTATAACAAGCAAGGAAAAATACAAATTCTACAAACAAAAATTCATTCAACTTTCTTCCTAATATTTTAATTTCCTGAAATATCCAGAAAGACAGATGTAAATTGCAAATAACAAAAAAATGTAATTTTAAAATCTAATTTAGAAATTCTAATGTATAAAAAATGTTCTGCATGGAAAGTAAAAGCTTGACACCAATGCTGAACTGAACTGCTATTAATACACACAGAGAAAAAAATATTTTAGGAGATAAAGTCTAATGACAATTCCATAAACAGAACCAGAAACAATTCCAGACACTTGTTCAATGTAGTCAAAAAGAAGCCCCTCTTCCGGGAGACATTCTGCAATCTCACACAGAACTAAYGACTGGACAGGGTTTTATCAGAAGCCTACACGAAGGTAGAGGAAATATCAAATATTAAAGGCAAGAGTTACATCCGAGGAGATGAACAAACAGACAACGAATTTTCCTGCCAGGGTGACCAAGAAGGAGTTGGACAAGAGCTCCATCTGTGCTCACTGCCGCAGCAGGCGAGGGTGACGCTCTTGATGCCAGGACTGCCGGCTCTTGCTGCTCAATGGCATCAGATACAGAAATACAAACAGAGCAGCTGTCCGGCCAACCACTCRTAACCCTAAAAGGGCCTTCAACTTAGATTTTCCATGTTTCTTATCACAATTTAACTTCTCGTGTCGCYTGAAGTTTTCCAAATGAAACACTATGGGTAAAGGACATGCATGTCCCTAAGTCAATGAAATGTTCCAGAAACTCAGTGTCCATCTGACTATGAAATTCATTACAGTTGAGCATATAYCAAGTAAAACGCAGTCTTGCGTCACTAGTTATTAAGGAAACATACTAGGGCAGTTATGTAAGGACTTGCTGCCATGGTTCCTTAAAAGAAAAAATGTTCATTAAAGAACTCACAAATGRATTTCTCTGAAGTGCTATTAATAAGAGGATCAGTTTACAGCATCATTGTTGGGTACGTTTTCTCCCTGACTTTAAGTGCTTTTAAATACAGCTAAAAAAGCCAATGGCTTTCTTTAAATCAGCAAATGCTGGAAATCCACTGGCAGCCTAACAGCCTCTCCTCTCAGTGATGTCAACTTCTAGGCTCACATGGCCTGGACTCACTACCGACCTCTTGAGCTTGTCTGCTCAGGTCCCAAGAGCCTGTCCCCAACAGGGAGGCCACCCAGAAACACCGCAGAGGAGAGAGGCCTGCCATGGGGACAGTCACACACAGGAAGGTGACGACAGGCAGGGGATGATGGGCAGCGAGCCACACAGATCTCCACCTCAGCGCCGCGCTGCTGTCCAGCACCCTCAGTCCCCTGCATCTCTACTGCTATTTCAAGGAACTTCTTTTATCTCTATTGGTCACCGCAATCTCTACTCATTCTTCAGGATAAGCAGCTCCAAGAGTCTGTGTCTCACATTTATTCAATGAGGCTTTGAGGAATGGCTAAAATTAAATTGACAACAAATGCTCCATAACAACAGCGTGGAAAAGAACTTTTCTGTAGATGAGGTCAGGAACGTGTGTTCGTGTTATACAGATGTTTCAATTATTACTGTTGTAATAACAGAGAAGTAAAAATCTCTTCTTCTGAAGCAAGAGACTACTGTTTCAGGATGTCTACAAAGGAGTCAAAAATGAAACTACCAAAAAAACAATCCCCTTTGCCGAGTCTACTTATATGACATGACTCTCCCCTCTCCCTTGGGAGGGGAGCACGCAGCAAAGCAGACAGCAGAGCTGTGTTCTTCACTGATCACATGCAGTCACTCAAGAGCATTCTAATAGSTAGACCTTACAGCCCTCAAACAGACCACATGCTGTTGTGCTCATGTTACCTGTGTAACCAATCACTACCTGTTTCCTCTATCTTCTTCAAGAAGGCCCCAGAAGAAATTTACATCTTTTTTTTTTATTTCATATTCTAAGGCTCGAGAAGCTGAGGGCCTTGGGTGGCTTGGGGCAGGTCCCCTTCAGAGCTCCTGCAGAGTGTGCCCCATTACAAGTATTTACAGGGTTGGGTTGGACGTGGAAGCAGAAACCCAAATGTGGGACACTGTCCCAACAGCAGCACGATAACAGAAGGCATCAACAGAAGCACAGAGTCTCGTAACAGAAAGCAGCCTTGCGCTGCTTCAGAGAGTAAACAACAACCATGTTCTCTTAATGCCCCCCAAACCAATCCCTTCAGTTATTAGCTAAATTTCAGCATACATTTGGAAGCTTAAGTTTTCCTGTAAAATAAAATCTCACATTAGAAGTCATTTAACCAATTCACAGCTTAAACATTTTCAGTGCACAGCAGTTACCATATTTATATTGCGCTATTACTTCACTTCCAGCCCATTAATTCATTGGGCAGCTTAATCCAACTCAGCTGGGAAGAGGCAATCTTAATCCAAAATACAAACATACATGGAAAGGGTTCATCCTTAATGGTTAACRAGGAATACATGTTCCAGAATAAATCCACAGCCTTAGAATGAGCAAATCCCCTTTGCCTGAGCTCGACTTGGACTGTTAGAGGTGGGCTCTGTCTTAAGTGCAATGAACAGTC